GAGGTGAATATATTTAAATTTACTGTACTTGTGGGAATATGCTAAAAGTATTGGATTCTGGAATGCAAATGTATTTATTGTATGATTGTGTCTCAAGATTTTTTTAAAAAAACAAAGTTTACCTAAGAATACTCCCAAGTGAGAAATTCGAAGAGCAGCAATGAGAATTGTTTTCAAATTTTAGCACCAAGACTTTAACAGTAACAACAACCCTTCCCCTCCCACCCAAATCACCTGTACAAACATGAGAAAGAAAACCCAGTGGACTCAGGACTCAAGAAAAAAGCAAAGAAATGCAAAGAGTGAGCAGTAGGTAACTGTATGCAGGGACAAAGGAAGCCAGAATAAATGTCACATTGTAAACAGAAATATTTTTTCTGTAGAAATATTTGATAAATGCTTATGTTGTTTTTCATTAAGAATTATAAAATGGTTTATCACATTAAGCTGTCTGAATATACACTTTGACTTACACATTAACATAAAAAATGGAACTGCTAAAGATAAATTTGTAAGAAACAGAATTTCTAGAAAATATCAGCATATATTTCTCAACTATACCAAGATCATAGAAAACAATGAAACCCTGAGAAACCCAGGATGCCAAAGAGAACTAATTCCTAAAACAAATGTTGTTAAGAGAGAAAAACACAATAAAATGTTACTGGAATGCTTGGTGGCACTGGCTCACCTCTGTAATTCTAGCTGTTTATCAGGCTGGGGTCTAAGGATTGTGGTTCAAAACCTGCCCAGGTAAAAACGACTGGGAGACTCCCCTCTACAATCAATTACTAAAAAGCCAAAAGTGCAACTCTGGCTCAAGTGGTAGCATGCTTGCTATTGGCATTTCATTTCCTTTTTTTCCCACTCAAGCAAAAACCAAGGAAGAACAAGATGCCCCCGAGTTCAAGCCCAATCCTGGGTCTCACCTGTAAATGGAATTTGCAGTTCTTTTGGTGGCACGGAAAGAATGTTAAATTCTTATCTTTGATGAACATAATGCAGTGATGTCTTCTGATTAAACAGAATGAGGCATGTACAGTGGGCTTTCTCAGTCTGCACTGTACTGAAATGAGGGATTCTGTATTATGGGATGTAGTTTGAGTGCTACCAAATGTTGAAATGCCCCTTTGGCCTACAGCAGTTAAAAAGGAACAACATATTAAGCCTGCCTACCCGCAAATCAAATTTCTGCCTTTCCTACTTGTCTCTGAGTGGGTGGATTGTAGGGAAGGGATGCAGAAAAGTTTCCTCTAATTGCATTGGTCCACAATAATTTATAATATCAGCAAACCAAATGAAATGTGTTATCTCTTAGTGTGAGGAAAAGAATCAGATGGATTTGATAGCTGTGAAAAATATTTCCAACTAATCGTTATCAGTAAAAGTGGATTTAGAGGTGATTAACTAAGGGCTGCCCATAGGAAGACTAGTTTCTGAAAAGTATTTTTGCACACCCCAACACAAGACCTATTTAATTTTCTTGAAACTGTGAAATTGAGATGAAAACTTGCATTGCAAGAAATCCACACTAATCACCTGATATAATGATGCTTACCTTATAACCCTAGAAATGAGAAGATATGGCTAGAGGTTCATAAGTTCAAGGCTAGTGTGGGTTTCAACAAATAGACCCTGTCTATTTGTTGTCTATTGAAACAAAACCAAAAGACAGAAATGCTATAATCTAAGTCAGTAACTGTCCATTCTATGACAATATCACCTATATAACTATAATATATATAAATATATAGCTATAATATATAATATAATAATATATAAATATATAGCTTACATATACACATATATGTATATGAATATATATATATAGCTATATAGATATATATCTATATAGCTATAAAAGTCATTGCTCTTGTTTCCAATAACTACCTTATTAAGAACGAAATCAAGCCAGGTGCCAGTGGCTCATGCCTGTAAACCTAACTGCTTAGGAGGCTGAGATCTGAGGATTATAGTTCAAAGCCAGCCCCAGCAGGATAGTTTGAGAAACCCTTATCTCCAATTAACCACCAGAAAACCAGAAGTGGCACTGTGGCTCAAGTGGTAGAGTGCTTGCCTTGAGCTGAAGAGCTGAGGGATAGCACCCAGAGTTCAAGCCCCACAAGTGACACAAAGAAAGAAAGAGAGAGAGAAAGAAAGAGAGAGAGAAAGAAAGAAAGAGAGAAAGAAAGAAATAACAAAAGATCAAAAGGAAGGAAGAAAGAAAGAGAAAAGGAAAGCAAGAAGGAAGTTGTAACTTGGAATATAATTTTGTTTTCAAAATATCATTCAGGAGACTATTCATCAAGGAATCCTAGATCAATAAAAATGAATTGCTCAGTGAGTGAAAAACGTTCACTATTTAGCAGCACTTGGTGGACAGCATCCCTCCCCACCCCCTTCCCTGATAGGTTGGCCAAGGTTAGTGCAAATTTCTTTTTGTGTCTATCCCATTCACTTGTTTTCTCTTGACCCTGGAAGAACCATTAGTCTACTCTTCGATTTGGGGCTTCTTTTGCCATTGTTATCATTAGGCAAGCTCAGGACATTCATGGGCTTATGCTCATGAGACAAATTTCTCAAAGACAGTTTATATCACACCAAACTTCATCACAGACATTGATTATTCAGTATTTTGCTAAAATGACTCTTTCTGTTCTCTGTAATGTATTAGTGCATTTTCTTTAACTACTATGAAATATAGGAGGCAGGCTCATTTACAGACATAAAAGGGGTAGTTAATTATTTCATAGGTCTGAAGTTATAGGTGCATAGTGGGTCAGTGCTGGGGAAACCCTCATGTGGATGGTGGGAAAAACTCCAAGAAACTCACTTTCCTACTCAGGAACCCTTGATCACAGAGGGATGGCCAGACTCCTACTGAGAACTACCTGTCTTCTTTCAGATGTGCTCACCCACTGACCTAATCACCCAATGACCCAATGACCTAATCACCTTGGTCTCCCTTCAAACTAACTTTTCAGCATGTGTACATTTGGTGGACAGGCTCAAACAATGTGAAATTCATATGATAGATTGACAGTAAAATGGAGAGTACGAGAGAAGGGGTATGTGTTTATGATTTAACTTTTTACATATACAAAAACATATGTATATTGACTTCATAAAATCTCTACCCTTTCATCTTCACTTTTTTATCCCTTGCATGTTGTATTTTGTTTCTAACTTTGCTTTCGATTTTTATGCAATCCTTCTTGAAAGCAAATCTTCATGGTGTATTTTTGTTGCCTGTGGGTTAAATTTCAATGATAAATTTTCTCGTCAGCCACCTATGATAGAAATAAGATCTATAGTTTTCAATTCAACAAAAACAAAACCATGTATTATGCTGAAGTTATGAAATGTTAACTTTTACAATGAACCTTTCTATAATTCTGCCTTAGGTAATAAATAATGTGGTTGATGACCTGTTCAATGTATGTGCTGATGTTCTTTAATAAAATAAAAGTGGGCAGGGGGAAACAGTCTTTTCAAAATGAATGCAAAGAACAGAGAATGGTGACATTCTCAAAGACATGTAGAGAAATACAGCTCTCAATTTTGAAGTTGCTCTTTTGTTGATGCTCAGGGATTATTAGAGTTCTTAAAGCTGCTAACCTTACTCATAAGAAAGTACCTGAAGCAGGGGAAGACATGAGCATTATCCATGTGATTTATGCCAATCAGTGATTGTCTAGGGAAGTAATATCTGTTAGTGCTATGTTTCCTTTCTTGGCTGAAAAGAGATTTGTTTAGGAAAGGATATGCAACCAAACATTGATTTATATTTAATTTTATTTTCTCTCCATTTTAAAAATTATGTTTATTTAGTTGCACAGTTATACCTTATACATAGGTATGTATTGCAGCTTAACATTCTGGTAGTTAACAAAATCAGAATTGTCAGTGCTAAAAATTCCATATGAAATAAATTGCAAAAAGTGACACTAACAACCATCCTGCAAAAATAAATTATTACACCCAAGAAATGAAAGTGTTGTTTTTCCTTAAGAACATCCAAGTGAATTGCATTCATATTTTATGGTTATGAAAGAAAATGCCCTTCTGTCAATAGCCTATATGAATCAAATTTTATGAACTACAGAAGTTTTTATGTTCTCCCTAAATGTCATGGATGAAAACAAAGCCACATTCCTGGTTGGGATGTTACCTGGAGAAAGGTAGAATTGTTACTACATTGTGTAGTAACATTTTGTAGTAATATAATGTTTCTTTGTATGTTCCTTCCCCACGGTATAACCCCTGTTTTCACTCTACTTGATGCCAGTGCCCTGCCTCTTGTATATACACTTCTCTAGCTTGGGGAGGGGAAGGGAAAAAACAAAATGCTTAAATAAGGATACAGGTTGACCCATTGTAACAATGAGATGTACCGGACACTATGTTGAAAAACGAACTTTAAATTCAGGCGAGGAGGGGGGAGGGGAGGCAGGGGAGGGGAAAAACAAAGAAGGAGGTAACAATGCTTGATAGGAAATGTGCTCATTACCTTGCTCATGTAACTGTAACCCCTCTGTACAGTATTTTTACAATACAAAACATATTTTAAAAAAGATTTCTTTCTGAGCCATGGAAAGATCCCATTATTAACTCTGATGATGGGGTACACGTGTGAACTCATTGAAGTGTACACTCTGCATGAGTGGGGTATAGGAATGAAAGGGTGACTATTCCAGCAAAGATATGGACACACACAAAAGGACAGGGACATGTATTGACAGTAGCCCAGAGAAGCTCTGAGTCTCCTCTGGATGGGCAGGTGACTGGTACCACATACTCACCATGGTCCACTCCAGCAGGACCTTTTGTACTGGACTGGCACGTGACAGGGCATGGAAGGTTCCAGAGTGCAGATGCCAACGGCCACTAGAGCCCAGGCGGGGAGCTTCGCCTGTGGGCCCCTGCACCTGCAGGCATTAGGAACTTCTGGAAGCTGAATTCCTATTAACTGGCAAGACCGACCTCGCAGTCCTGTTCCCATGGGCAACTCCCTGGGCTCGCCCCAGCCAGCGCCCACACCCCCTGCCCCTGGACGCCCAAGGCCCCGGCCTGCCTGGGTGGAAGAACCTACTCAGGATGATGGCAGGGTCTCCACCGGGCCGGTCCCCAAGGCGCTGCTCCACTGGCCACTGGGCACACCGTTCAGAGTGGTCTCTTCCACAAGGAGGCGCTCTCCTGTCAGGCTGTCTCCTGGGGTCGCCATTGGCCGGGATCTCTCCAGCGCCTGGGAGACCTACATGAAGCGGTGGCTTTGGAGTGCCAGGAACCCTGTGCGCACCTGCAGCCCCGTGACCATCAAGATCGCTCCACCAGGGCGCAGGGGCAGTCCCCTGGTTGTCCCCAGGCAGGGAGCTCGTTTTCCTGGGAATCCAGAGGCTGCTGGGGAGCATCTAGACCCCTCCTCCAGGGAGGCGGTGCTGAGGGCGCTTAGCCAGTGCAAGAAGGGAAACAAGAAGTTCGATGGGCCACTCTGGTTTGAGACCCCAGAGACCCAGAGCAAGACGCAGCTCTCTATGTCCAGGCCATCTGCCTTCAAACCCTGCATTAAAAATGGAACAGTAGTTTCGTTTGTGCCCAGGCCTGGGCCTTTGAATCAAAGGCCCTGCTCCTGGAGGCTCAATGCCTGCGAGGAGGAGAATAATACCGTGCCCTGTGTCCATCCCCAAGCATTGATAGCATCTGAGCAGGAAGCAGCTTCTCCCCTGGAGACAAGGGAGAAGATGAAGCTGGTCTGTGGCCTGGGCCACATTCCCGTGCAGCAAAACAGAGTGCGCAGAGTCTCATTTGCACCTGAGGATTCCCAGCCTGCTGGTCCTTTTGCCTTCTGAAAGTCAGGATTCTGCCACTTGCTTCCTGAGACTCCAGCTTAGGTATTTGTTTTCATCTTCTAATCCCGGCGTGGAATTCTGTCACACCAATTTATAACTTGTTCCAGAGCACCTTCTCTGCAACCTGATAGGCCTTGTCCAACCTGGCCCTTAATTAGAATTTTCCAGATTCAAACTCTTGCTCTCCCCTCACCCGATCTCTCCCTCAGAAGCAGGTATTTCAGGAAGGCATGCTTCCTTCTCCAAGTCTCTATTTGCCCAGTTGGTTAGATAAATATTATTAACATATTATCAGTAAATATATCGTCACACACAAAAATAAAGCGTGTTTCATCAAGGCAAAAACCCAGGCCCTGGAAAGATTTCTATACATTTGAGATCTTTGAGTATGGCCAAAGTATGAGAAAAAAATTTTTTTAAGTATGTTAACAGAAGGAGACTGTGAAGCTGGTAATTGCCATAATGTGACCATGGGTTGTGATCCAGGGACAATGTCCTCTAGGCAGAAGGACAGACAGTCAATGAACTGGTGGATTCTGCTTCAAAAACAGTATTCTGATTTCTGTGTGCTAAATGGATTTTCCAGGAGCAGCTACTGATTGAACCATGAGGGTTCAGTACAATATGTCAAGCACAGGGATACAAAAGCATGCTTTGAGAAGGTAACGATGTTTATGGAGGAGTGCCTTTGAAAATGGTGTGAGGGAAGCAAAAGAAAACAAATTGTTGAAGATACCAGATGGAGGTAGTGCTACTGACTGAGGTGGGAAGTACCAACAGGAGAAAGAATATGGAGGAATCAAAAGATTGGTCACATTTTCTAGAAGAATGAAATTGACTGCATTCAGGTAAATTATCAGTTGAATATGTCAGCCTGGAGCTTGAAAAGAAATTTGGGAGCCATGACTATCTACATTTCTTTATAAAGTAGAAATGGTCTAATGGTCTTTAAAGCAGGGATAGCATGAGATCACCAATGGGGTGATAAACTACAACAACAAAGAACATTCAAATATGGAAGCTATGGGCTCCAATGTTCAGAAGAAGGGAAGGAGATAGAAACCTGAAAACAAGCAGCCATGGACACAGGAGGCAATTCAGGAACAGAATGGATGTTGAGCAGTATCCTAGAGGATGGAGTCGCCAATCTTGTTGGATACTGTTGAGAATTTAAGAAAATATTTTTCAGAAGTGAAGGAACAAATTTCTTGGAGGGGAAAGATGTGAAGGCAGCTGCCGGTGGGAGGTAGGGGCTGCAGAAGACACCAGAAGATTTTCAACAAATGGCTTTTTTAGGTGGAAGAACTGTAGTCAAAGTTATAGACCAGGGGAACTGATGTTGTATGGTCCACGCCAAGGCCAGGCACTGAAGCAGAAGGCCAATTGTTCCCCTTGAAGAGATTCAACTGTTAATGGCATACAGGCATTCTTACAAATATACCCCCAAATAAAATGTTATCAAATATTCTGGACACTGTCTCTCAACTAGGATTAACCTTAATATTTGCAATCACAAAATGTGTCCAAAGGAATAAAGTTTTTAATGATGGTATCAATGAGTAAATGTAGGTATTATAGTCAATGTACATGATGTAAAAAAATGAACTGCGTAACCTAAGGGAGGAACAAGAAGGGGCAAATAGGGAAAAACAAAGGAAGGGGTGACTGATGATGAAGTATTATACTCACAAGTTAAATTACGGAATTGACCCTTTGTACAATGACTTAGTAATAATAAGTAAAAATTTAGGAAAAAACTTTAGTAAGAAATAAATTGATAGGCTGGGAATGTGGCTTAGTGGTAGAGTTCTGGCTTAACATGCCTGAAACCCTGAGTTCAATTCTTCACTACCACATAAACAGAAAAAGCCTGAAGTCGTGCTGTGGCTCAAGTGGTAGAGTGCTAGTCTTGAGGAAAAGAAGCTGAGGGACAGTGCCCAGGCCCAGAGTTCAGGCCCCAGGACTGGCAAACAATAGAAAAAGAATTAAATGACAAGGAAATTAGTAAAAGCAATGGGAAGAACAAAGTTTAAAGGCTGATAGAAGGGCAGAGGAGAAATTGAAATATTTAAATTTGTGATTAGAAGAGTTTAACCATGGAAATTGAATATGGGAAAGATAAGAAGTGCATGTAAATCAAGGAATTCTGTACTGTAGTAGAGTTTAACAACTGGTTGTGGTGAGGATTTCTTTTTTCTTTAATACGAGCTCTCAAAAATGTGGCAACAATAGCAAACAAACTTAACTTCCACACAGCAAACAATAAACCAACTTGACTTTATGGGCAAAGGAACTAAGTAGACATTTCTGTAAATAGTATATACTAACTTCTACAAAAGTATATGAAAAAGGTTTCACATTATTTTTTTTGTTTTATTTTATTCATTTATTATTTATTATTTTCTATTTTATTATTTATTTATTTATTTTTATTATGAAAATACTAAAGAAGGGTTACAATTACATGGGCAAGGTAATGAGTGCCTTTTTTTATAAGATAATCAATATTGTTTGTTTGTTTTTATTTGTGTTATCATTGTTATTATTTGTTTATTTGCTGGTCCTGGAGATTGAACTCTGGACCTGAGAGCTGTTGCTGAGCTCCTTTTGCTCAAGGCTAGTACTCTACACTTGAGCCACAGTGCTGCTTCCTGCTTTTACTGTGATATATTGGAGAAAACTCTTATGGACTTTCCTGCCCAGCCTGGCTTTGAACCATGATTCTCAGATCTCAGCGTCTTGAGAAGCTAGGTTTACAGACATGAGCCTCCAGCACACAGTAAGATTGGCATTATTAATCATCAGGGAAAAACAAATAGAAATCTTATTGAAATATCACTTACCTATTAGAACAATTACTTTAAAAATAATTGTTGGTGAAAATGAGGAGAGAAAAGAACACTTTTCACACATTGGTGGGAATTATTCTCTGTGGAAATCAGCAGTGCAGGAAGACCTTTGAAAAACAGATTAACAAAAAATTACAAATAAACATACAACAACAATAGGGTACCCATTATTAAAGCTAAAGAAACTCAGATTGATCAAAGAAATACCATATCAGCTCCATATCATTTGCTGATTTATGACAAAAATCCAGCTATGAAATCGACATTGACATCACAAATAGATGATGAATAACTGGAGAGCTGTGGAATACTATTCACTTATAACAATGAGCAGAAATAAGGGATGAGGAGGGGGAAGAAAGGAAGACTTGTGGTGAATGAAGAAAGAGGAATAGCAAAGCACACCTACATAAGAACAGCATCATTTATTTGTCCAAACCATGAGGATTTAGGGGGAAGAGTTCTAGCTTTGCTGGATCCAAGAAGGTGTTTAACCAAGTTAAAAAAGGGAAAGGTGAAAGGAACCTGTTAAGTTGCTAAATGAAGATTTGAGCTTTGGGAACTGAGGTAGAACTGAATCCATTGGAGAAGGTCCAGCCACATTTTAATGACATTGTGTGTGTGTGTGTGTGTGTGTATACTCTGGGTTTGGACACTGTCCCTGACCTCTTCAGCTCAAGGCAAATGCTCTACCACTTGAGCCACAGCGCCACTTCCAAATACTAGAGGTTTATTGGAGCTAAGAATCTCACAGACTTTCCTGCCTGGCTTTGAACTGTGATCCTCGGATCTCAGGCCCCTGAGGAGCTAGGATTACAGGCTTGAGCCACCAGCGCCTGGCTGTAATGATATGCTTGACTTTAATCCACAGCAGTGTCTCATGGCTTGTCAGTTGTGTTATAATACACCGTGTTTAACTGGAATAGTGGACAGGTTTTACTAAGAGCAGAGCATTGATTCTTCTGGGACAGAGCTCCTTGAGGATAAGGATTTTACTGTAAGTTAAGGAGGCCTCTATTCAGCCTAGGAATGGGAATAGAAAAATCCCTGGGACCAAAGAAACACATATGAACCAGACATGCAATGCTGTAGTAAATGATAACAGAGCTTTGTGGAGGTGATGTAAAAACAGTTAACTACAAAAGAAATCAGGCTAAAGGAAATAGATAGCTAATTAACTACAAAAACAAGGGTGTATTGTTCTATTGATGTATTGGTATGTTGATCTGGTTTGAGATTCAGCACATCAGGTAAACAGTATTAAAATAAATTGTGTCTATTCTGAGCATGGAGATATGTTCTTCTTTGTATACCCTAAACATTTTTGGATGACAACCATTCACCTACAATTTACAAATTATGAAATGCTGTACTAACCTAGATGTGGTTTAAAGTATTTGAAAAAATATGTTGTGCTTGACTAAATTAACATTTGCTTAAAATTTCATGTATATATAATGTTATATAATTATATAATATAATAATATATATTCTATTTTTTTCTTTTGTATCTGTACAAGGGCTTCAACACAGGAACTGGATGCTATGCTTTAAATTCATTGCCTTAGGCCAAAAATCTACCACTTGAACCACAGCTCCCTTTCTGGCTTTTTTGTTGTTGAGAAAAGAATCTTATAGAATTTCCTGCCTTGGTTGGATTAGAACCACAATCCTTAGATTTCAACCTCTGCAATAACTAGAATTACAGGCATGAGCCACCAGCAAGCTTCTGGCTCAAAAATAGGTCTGATCATGGAACATCATATGCATACATGGACATGTCAAAATCAAAGATCCTTGTACAACTAATGATGCTAATAAAAATGTGAGAAAAACCTACAATTTTATTTCAAATATTTTATATTTCTAAAACCAAAAGGTTCTTAAATGTATAATTTTAAGTGATACTTGCATTAAAATCAACAATGTAGCAAATAATCTTCCTCTCATTTTGTTATGAATTAATAATTAGCTTTGCTGATTACCTGTTGTATGTTTTTAACTCAATTGAGAGGAAGACAGAAATGTAGCATTATATTACATGTATATTATGTAAACTTTGAACTACTTAAGTTGAGGGTAGGGATAAGAGGGGGATTAATGGAAGGGAATGATGGAAGGGGTGACATTGACCAAGGTGCTTTGTACTCA